GGGGGAGCGAACCCGGGTCGCCCGCGTGACAATCCAACGCACTTACTATTCGGCCATTGAAAACACCGCTTCAAATTTTTAAATACAAAAATCTCGAGATTGCCTTTTTCGATTCTAAAAAAATTACATATTTCGCATTCGCGAAAGAGTCACTGTTAAGATATCTAATATCAAAGAAAAATATTGGAAAACAAAAAAGTTGAAAAATTGCGTTTTTTTAAATTCGCTTCCGGTATCGACCGGAAGCACTGACGAAAATTTGAAAGTATAGGTGCAAAACTACAACATGTCATCTATTAGTCGTGAAAATGACAACATTCTAGCTTTTGTCGTTTTTGAGTTTTTTTGTCGACAAAATGGTCACTAAAAATTCGATTAAAGGTCGATAACTTCCGACCGGAAGTGATTTTTCAAAAATAAAAAAAAATGGATCAGGTTTAGATCATGATACATCACCTCTGAAAATTTCAAAGAAATCCGTCAACGCATCTCTGAGAAATCGTCTGCACAAAATTTGGACGAAAAAAAATAATAATAATAATAGTGAAAAAGAAACAATAGAATAATAGAAGGGTCTTCCGTTGGAGACGGAAGACCCTAATAATAGGGAAAAAGAAACCGAAGAATAACAAGACGGTCTTCCGTTGGAGACAGAAGACCTTAAAAATAGTGGAAAAGAAACCTAAGAATAACAAGAAGGTCTTCCGCTGAAGACGGAAGACCTCAAAAAAATCAAGACGGGGGTTTAAAATCGGGGCGGGCGGGGACGAGAATCTAGAAATATTTTTATTATGGCCTAACACAAAACCTTGACATTGTGAAATGTAATTAAGGTTAAATTCGGTCTGTTCCATACGAGTATCACGTAGATTCTGGTTATATTTCTGCATATATCAGAACAATAGCTCTACAATTTTGTTTTATGATAACATGAACTTACTTCGAATTCTCTGTTGGAATATTGTTTTTAAAAATAACAAGCAAATTCAAAGAATTATGGTCCCCCGCTTTCGGTATCTTTGTGGGCAAGATATCATTTTTTGGGTCAAGGTCAATAGGTCAAAATTTTTGGTAACCCATGAAAGGTCTTGCCATAAAGAATACATATATTTAAAATATGAACGTCCTAGTTTCTACCGTTCAAAAGTTGTGACCAAGCTTAATGTTTTTTAAAAGTAGTTAAAAATCCAAGGTCAAGGTCAAAGGGTCAAAGTTCTTGGCATGCAATGAAAGGTCTTCTCACAAGGATTACATACGTGAAGTACGAAAGCTCTACCCCTTACCGTTTAAAAGTTATGGTCAAGGTTAAAGCTTTTTCAGAAGTACATTAATCTCCAAGGTCAAGGTCCAAAGGTCAAAGTTGTTGGTATCCAATGAAAGGTATTGTTTTTTAAGAATACATGTGTGAAATATAAAAGTCTTTGTATCTACCGTTCAAAAGTTGTGACCAAGGTTATAATTTTTAAATTTTTATCGTTCAAAAATTATGGTCAAGGATATAGTTTTTTCATAAGTACGTAAATTTCCAAGGTCAAGGTCAAAAGGTCAAAGTTGTTGGTATTCATTGAGAGGTCTTGTCACAAAGTATAAATATGTGAAATATGAAAGTCCTAGTACCTACCATTCAAAAGTTATGGCCAAAGTAAAAGTTTGGAATTTTTTAGTAAAAGTAGTTGAAACTCCAAGGTCAAGGTCAAAAGATTCAAATTTGGTTTTACCCAAAGAAAGATCTTATCACAAGGAATACACATATGAAATATGAAAATCATAGCTCCACTAAATCAAAAGTTATGGGCAAGGTTAAAGTTTTTGTGACGGACGGACAGACTGACGGACCGACGGACAGACGAATGAGATTTAATGTCCCCTCGCTTTCGCGAAAGCGGGGGACAAAAATAAGAAAAGCTTCAAGCCAAAAGCTGGCGAGCCACACCGACATGCACACTAACTGCAGAACTGACCATGTAGTTTTATGGTGACAGTGGTCCATTCCACTTTTTTTTCAGACCAGCGAGCACAGGTCTTCAGCTACATGCACACTAAATCATTTTCTATAACAACTTAAATCATAATCCTTTTAGTCGTTTACAAAGTTTGGTTATTACATGTACGACCGTCTTTAAAACTTATGCGCTGAATCGAAACGATTAACTACTGTATACATGTACGAGAAATATTATACATTTATTGACCGAGTTCGAGAGCAACATGCATTCTGTCGACCTTCGAACCAAACTTAGGTTCGAGGGTCGACAAAACTCATTTTGCCCGAGGACACCGACAATAAATGTTTTTTTAAATACCTTTTATTGTTTTTTTTTTTCATACATGTATCTTGTACTGCGTTCCGTGATTTAAACTTTATATCCATCACTGTTTATCACCAACGAAAGCAAATGAGATTAAGGTCCGCCCATAATGTGACTTAAGCCGTCTAACATTTCATCGACAGGTCCAACATCTCACTCAGCGGTCCAACATCAATTTTTATGTCCACTCAGTAAAACATAAAATATGTGATACCCTTTTCGTACAGATTTGTACAGGAACAAATTCTTAATAAATCTTATAAAAATGTTTCAATAAGAATTTGTCATGTTGGTATAACCAAGCAATACTTCTCAAATAACAACTTATTTTTATAATAGTAGGGGAAACACATTTTTAAATGTGAGCATTTGTCTTCTAATAATTAATTTCATTTACTGATGAGTCGTAAAATTCACAATATCTCAGTTCTTTGAGATCTGACCGAAAACTAATTGGCAGCTGCAGAGAGTAAAACAATCTTAAATGCAAATTAAAAAAAACGCAATGGTGGTGCTTCGTGTTATATAATCACATACATGTAGAATTGGCGGCCAAATAGAGATAGACAAAATAAGTCCAGATAACTCTTTTTTTCTCGGGAGAATAAATTATTAAGGTAGAGGAGAGATAATTTTCAGCTTATTCGCAGTCCGGATGTCCAAACTTCAAACTTAAGTCAGTTACGTTGAAAAGTTTTACTCGCAAAATAAGAAATTGTAATTCACCGATCGACAAAATGTAATGAGGATCTTTCTCCTTAGGCGTAGTTCCATCTTCAATATTTTGTTAAGTCAACTGTTCATGATAAAATCTTAGAAGCAATCAGTATTTAATAACACGACGATATATCTTTTAAAAAGTGCAATGAGCAGAGGGACGAAAGATAGAGAAGCAATGACGTCATAAAAAAGGCGAAAACCTGAGTAGGGTCATCAAACTAATGATGAAATAGTAAACTGTTTAAAGTATGATGGTGATTTTTTTCTCAACACTTCCTGTACCTTTTTGTTTCAAGTTCTTTTAAATATTTTTAGCGGCATGAATCTCGTGGCATCAGTCCACTAACATTTGAAAACCCACCAATAAACAACTATTTTCTCTAATAAATATGATTTTAAAAAAAAGATTTCAAACAAACGAATTGATTCAAATATTTGCCATTAATAATGAAAAATAAATAAGTAAGTATGGTATACTAACACATGTAGTACAATAAATTGCATTTTGTGTTTGTGAGAGAAATTTAATGAACCTACATAATGAAAAATGCATGTTAGCTGGAAAGATTTTGAAATATTATACCCCATGCTTGAACATGACGTTGCATAAATCAATTCAAAATATCGCAACATTAACGTAAACAATGTTACCTTTACAGCTATATAAAACATAAATAAAGCTCTGTACAGGTATTTATTGATAATTTCATAAAAATATACACTCTTTAGAACAATTTAGAGGAATATTATCAATTTTGACACGGGGCGGAATTTTGCGACAAGTGAACTAGGTTCTTTGTTCAAATCATGACCCCCGGGGCAATGGTGGGGCCAAAACGGACGACCCAAGTTTTAAATAGGATTTTATAGGAAAATCTTTAAAAATCTTCTTCTCGAGAACCATTGCGCCAGGAAAGATGAAACTCATGTGGAATCATGCATCCTCAGTTAGTGTAGATTCAAGATTGTTCAAATCTTGACCCCCGGGGCTAGGGTGGGGCCAAAATGGCCGACCCAAGTTTTACATAGGGATATATAGGGAAACCTTTTAAAATCTTCTTTTCAAGTACTTCAAAGCTATGATAAGTGATATATATATTTTGAATCATCCTCAGGTAGTGTAGATTCTAATTTGTTCAAATGATGAACGCCCGGAGTGGGGGGGGGGGGGGGGATAAATTCAAGCCCGATGTGCTCAGGTGAGCGCTGTGGTCCCTGGGCCTCTTGTATTTTTTATAGGAAAATATCTTTTGCGGAGTGTGTTACCAAAATATTATATTTATCCTTCATATATACAAAAAGAAATGAAAATTGTCAAATAAAATCTAGATCTAAAAATGTTAGATAACATAAAATAAGGTTGTTCATAGGCCTACTTTACATGAATAAGCTGCACTCTTGGTATTACATGTATAAACTAATGATTGATAAAGACAAAAAATTGAAACTGAAACAGTTTTAACATGTTTAATATCCTGAAAAATTGGAGAAAAAAAAAATATTACAAAATGGCTAAAAAAAAAAATTTGGGTCGGGTGCATTTTCAGTGCGTTGGTCGGCAACTGCAAACAAACAAAGTTTCATTTTAGGCCTAGGTCAGTGCAACCTATTTTTGAATTTACACACTTCACTATGAAACATAGTAGGAGGCTTGCATGAAGCATATATCATTGTATTTAGGTGACTGATTTGAGTCATTGTATTGTATCACCTAAAGTGTTTATTTGTCAAAAAGTAGGTTATAATGATATAAATTATAATTTTTCCAGATATATAGAATACTATCAAGCTTAAAAAAGATGTGATAGGGTATGGCTGTCCATCAGAAAAGTGATTCTTGGGCCTTATGTAAACTTATGAATTATCATGATGTTCAACTTTACAGGTGGAAAAGACAACTTCTTCATCCTTTAAACCCATTCAGAATGATGCTGAAAAGTTAAACAAGGATTGTTCTCATGACAGTCAAACTAAGGATTTAGAAGCAGACAGAAGTACCTATCAATGTAACATCTGCAGGAAAAATTTCAACCAAGCATATCCCTTACAAACCCACATGAGGAGGGTACATGGAGATGGTAAATCTTATAGATGTGGCTTGTGTTATGTTTGTGGAAAGGTATTCAAAAACTTACTCAAACATCTGAAGAAGCATAACTGGGATAAAGAAAAACCTTATAAATGTGATGTGTGTGGAATGTCTTTATCAGGAAAATTATGGAGACACATGATGACACACACTGGCGAAAAACGTTTTAAATGTGATATTTGTCAGAGAAAATTCAGAGCAAAATCCAATTTAAAGGTACATTTGAGAACCCACACAAGAGAAAAAGCACGTAACAATGGAAGCTGTGAGTGTGCTGTGTGTGGTAAGTTTCTATCAGGTCATTTAAAAAGACATATGATCACACATACTCGAGATAAAAACTATAAATGTGATGTATGCCAGATGATGTTCAGGCACAAGTCAGATTTAGAGAAACACATGATAAGACACACAGGTAAAAACCCACTTAAAAATGGTGTTTCTGACGAATTTCCCGCTCAACGTTCTGTTTTTCCAAACCACCCACTGTCACTTAAAGGTGTCAGAAATTCCAAGTGTAAGGAGTCCTGTAGGAGTTCACGCAATTTAAGTAGGCCAAATAGAAGGTATTCTCGAGAAGCTCTAGATAAATGTTACACAAGAGGAAAAGTGATGAATAATTTAAGGTATAAACCGAGAAACAAGAAAAGGGATACAAGAGAAACACTTCTTACATGTGCTAAGTGTGAAAAAACGTTAAGCAAAAATGGACATCAGAAGACACATGATGGTAAAATACTTTGCGATGATTGTCAGAAACAATTGAGGACGCAAAAAAGTGGTAAACTTAAGGAATGTTATGTAAAGTTATTCAAAGATGATTGTCAGAAACAACTGAGGACGCAAAAAGGTGGTAAACTTAAGGAATGTTATGTAAAGTTATTCAAAGACATCGAAGGGTTTAACAAACAAATAAGGACCAACACGGGTGATAAAATTCATCATTGCAATGACTGTGGAAAAGTATTCAAGGATTCCCGAAATTTTCAGAGGCATAAAATAACACATACTGATAAAAAGCCTTATGAATGTGATGTGTGTGGAAAGAAATTTAACCAATCAGGTAACTTGCAGAGACACAAGGGGACCCATAAAGGTCAAGGTCAAAAAACCTTTATATGTGATGTCTGTGGGAAAACATTCAATCGATCAGACCACTTAGAGGTACATATAAGAAAGCATAATTATGGTGAAATGCCACGTGCCGGTGATGTGTATGGAAAGTCATTCAATGATTTATGTAGATTCAAAATGCACTCCGGGATTCACACAGGTGAGGAACCTCATAAGTGTGATGTATGTGGAAAGGCATTCAGACAATTAAAAGGCTTAAGGAAACACGTAAAACACACACAGGTGAAAAACCTTTTGGGTGTGATGAATGTGGAAAGGCATTCAGCAGATTGGATAACTTAAAGCGTCATATGAGGACACATACAGGTGAAAAACCTTTTGAATGTGATGTGTGTGGAAGGCCATTTAGCAGATCGTATAGCTTAAGGCATCACATGACGACACATACAGTAGAAAAACCTTTTACCTGTGATTTGTGTGGGAAAGCGTACAAAAAGTCGGATTACTTAAAGCGTCATATGAGGATACACACAGGTGAAAAACCTTTTGAATGTGATGTGTGTGGAAAGGCATTCAGCAAATCGTTTTCTTTAAAGTATCACATGAGGTCACATACAGGTGATAAACCTTATGCATGTGATTTGTGTGGAAAAGCGTACATGCAGTTTTATGACCTAAAGAGACATATGAGGACGCACAGAGCTGAAAAACCTTTTGAATGCATTGTGTGTGGAAAGGAATTTAAGCAATCGGATACTTTACGGAAACATAAGAGGCTGCATTCAATCCAAAATCGTTATGGGTGTAACATATGTGAGAAAATCTTCAGTCGATTTGATAACTTACAGAGACACATAAACATACACACTGGCAAGAATCCTTTTAAATGTGATGTATGTGGAAGACATACAATCGATCCGATAGCTTACAGACACACATCAGGGTACACAATGGTGAAAGGCCTTTTGAAAGTAATGTATGTGAAAAGAAATCTCGGATTTGGGTCATTTAAAGAAACAGGCGAAGACACACAATCTCTCTAGATGTGATGTGTGTAACAGGACTTTTAACGACATCAAAAAATTAAAGATTCACATGAGGACACATACAGGTCATAAAGTTAACACGTGTGACTTGTGTGCCAAAACTTTCACCCGATTAGACAACTTAAAGAGACACATGTGGACACATACAGACGAAAAACGTTACAAATGTAATGTTTGTGGAAGGGAATTCAACAGATTGGATGCCTTTAAGTATCACATGCAGACCCATAAAGGTGGCAAATCTTAGAAATTCAATGTTTGTGGAAGGGTATTTACCTGCAGAGGCTAATGCAGACGCGTACAAGTGATGGACCATATAAAAAATGAGTTCAAACGCATACAAACATAAACTTCTTCTTAAATCTTAAATTAATTTTTTTTTGAGTTTGAACATCAACGAGTCACTTTGATATACAAGGATATATAAGTTCCCACGTTTTGTCATTCATAGAAAATAAAGGTGCATCTCAATGTATGTGGGAATATTGATAATTTATTGAATACAAGTGTTATTCTAAAAAGTGTAGGTTTTTATTAGTTTATTGAATATATAAAGTGTTATTCTGAAGTGTGTTGGCGAACACTGCTCTATATTCATTGACACACATCCTTACTTACACGTATATGGGGAATATCTGTATAAAGTAAAGTGTTGAAATACTTAATGTATTAAAATTCATGGAAAATTCATGGAAGAACAAAGTCCAACAATTACTACTATATGGAGATGCATCTTTAAGCAAATATAATTTCATTTATAATGTAGCCCAAAATAGATAATGAATTTCATATACATGTATGTTTTTTTAATGTTGTTTTATCGTGATATATGTTTATTTGAATTTATTTCTGACCAAGGGAGGGAATCAGAATCAAATTGGTAGATTTTATTTACGTTAATCATCATCTTTGGATAATTTTTTTTTATAATCATTTGTTTATGTATAATTTACGTGAAGTTTGTTGTTAAATTTTTTAATTTAATTTTTGCAAATAAAAACTTTAGAAGACAAATTTCAATTTATTGTTAGCTCAGAATAACTATAAACTATAATTGATTTCTAAACACTTGTCTGTCTGCCCTTCAAGTCATATGTACAAATATCAGTCTGTAACATTTTCGATTTTCAACCTATTTCTACCATAACGTCTATGAGAGAGGTGTTACAACTATATTAGGTAAAACAAAGCAAAATACAATGAAACTTAAATAAAACTTAAGCTTATACATGCATAGGAGCTGGTGGCGTATATGCCACAGAGAAAACAAATATGGCAGGCTAGACAATTCTCTCCCGTTTACGAATCTTGTTACATAAGCTTTTCTGGTATTATTTTATCTGTCGTCCCTTTTCTGTCAGATAGTCTGTCTACTTGTAATTCAAGTTTGTTCAACTGTAAAGTCATGCCCAATTGCAGTTAGATGTAACGGGGACATTTTAGCTCACCTCGACGAAGTCGAGATAGACTATATTATCCCCCGGCGTCGGCGTTAGCGTCGGCGTCCCAGGTAAACTTTTTAGGAGTAAGTCCATTCCCAAGTCCAAGAACTATTAGCCCTACCTGAACCAAACTTGCATGGATGATGCATCTAGGGAATTACACCACAAAACTTTGGTTGCTGGATCTGACCTACATTTTCCAGTTGAGTGACCAGGTTAAAGTTTTTGGAGCAGGTTAAAGTTCTTTTAAAACCTCATTGCCTAGGGATTCTAAACCCTACCCAGACCAAACTTGCATGGATAATGCATCCAGGGATGTACACTGCCATTTTGCTTCAGGATGCTGGGTGCTCTGACCTGCATTTCCAGATGAGTGACCAGGTTAAAGTTTTTGGAGCATGTCCATTCCCAAGGAAGTATAAGCCCTACTCGGACCAAACTTGCATGGATGATGCATCTAGGGATGTACACTACCAAACTTGCTTTTGGATGCTGGATCTGACCTACATTTTCCAGATGAGTGACCAGGTTAAAGTTTTTGGAGCAGGTCCATTCCACAGGAACTATAAGCCCTATTTGGACCAAACTTGCAAGGATGATGCATCTAGGGATGTAAACTACCAGACTTGCTTCGGATGCTTGATCTGACCTACATTTTCATTCCCAAGTGACTATAAGGCCTATTTGGACCAAACTTGCATGGATGATGCATCTAGTAATGGACATTACCAGACTAGCTTCTGATGCTGGATCTGACCTATATTTACATTCCCAAGTATCTATAAGCCATAGCTTAACTAAACTTGCATGGATGATATATCTAGGGATGGACACTACCAGACTTGTCTTCGGATGCTGGACCTGACCTACATTTTCATTCCCAAGTAACAATAAGCCCTAGCTTAACCAAACTTGCAGGGATGATGCATCTAAGGATGGACACTATCAGACTTGCTTTGGATGCTGGATCTGACCTACATTTCTAGACAAGAGACTTGATTAAAGTTTTGGGAACAGATCAAACTGAATGAACTTGAAGACCTTGATATATGCAGTATTAACAGTTATGAATATTTGTTTACTCTATACATATACATATTTTTCACGCTACAGGCTTAGAAATGTGTATATGCCATATAAGGAGTTAAACACAACTTGCAAGAATATTGTTGTTGAAATGAATACTAAATATTAAGAAAATATTTTGTGAGATTTGCACTACTTAAACTGATAACATTCGTCGAGGTGAGCTTCGTAATGTTTGTGCTTCTGCTGGGGCATTCAGCCCAGACCTCTGGCATGCCAGTATAGTGCTCTTTCAATGCGCCAAATGGTTAACCCACAGGTCAAGCTAATAGGTAGCCGTCTATCTGACACTACAACATTGTCCCCCTCCAGAGAATGAGATGCCCTCATCTCTCTTTGAGTGCCAACACCTGTGGGGCGAAGTTCTGGGGACAGTCACTTTCACCCATAAGAAACACCCGTGTCCCAACGTGGGAGCAAAATGTAACAGACATATTGTGCTTTTCCTGGGGATTGAACCCAGGGCCTTAGGCATGCCAGTCCAGTGCTAAATTGAGCTAAATGGTTAATCCACTCAACTCAGCTAATATGAAGTCGTGTTTCTGACACTATCAAATAGAAATAAGATAAAAATTTGAGGATTCTTAAATATGATTAATAGAAATTTGCGAGAAGCACTGACTTTAAAAAATAACAGTTGACGCTTTACTTTGACATCCAAACCTGTATCATGTACAGTGGTTCAGAAATTATAATAGATAAAAAAACCTTATTTTTCATAGGTATATGGTGTTAGGGCTGGACTCTTACATGTAAAGGCTGGGAGTTTAGGTTAAACTGGTTGTCGTTTTCTTCAAGCATAACTTATTTGTGTTTGAAATAACCCGAAATTTGTTGCATTAAGTGTTGGGCTTAAGGACTCGTTCATTTTCCTGGTGTAAAAGTAGGCCGTCGACTGTAAAAGTCAGCGCTCCTCGCAAAAGTCCTACAAGACGATCTGTGATAAGACATACATGTATTAAGGTTTTTCCAGCATCATACATTTTATGAGTTAAAAGTAGTAAAAATGCAGTGGTAAAAATGCATTTATCTTCACGGAATGTATACTTGTCAAAATTTCTAAGTCCCCAGTTTTATTATTTTAAGTATTTAAAAACCTTAACATTAATTAACTAGTTGTTCACAATTTTGACTTAATTTTTCAATGATTGCATGTTACGGCCAAAAAATATGGAATCGAATGTGTAATTACTGATACATGACTGTTTTTGTTAAAAAGCATGAAGTGCGAATTTCATATGTTTTCGGGTGGATCTTCCATTTATTGAAATTTCCATGTGTTCTCTATCTTTAGTTGTTTAGGAAAAACAGAAAAAGCTTGTTTTAAATGCCGTGTATGTACTAACGACAATGTGCAAGTGAAGTTAATATGATCCAAGCTGGTGGTAGTAAAGGAAAGTTGTATTTCCTTCCTTTGTATTTGTTTATTTTATGTTAAACTTTAAAAAAAAAACGTCAGGAAGATGCACAAACCTTACATGTATGCATTATTATCATTAAAAATTGCTAGATTTTCAACAAATTTAGATAAATAGAACCATGACCTTTCCTTTGACCTTTGAATTTACGGTACTTTTCTTTGATTAGGTTTTGCTTAGTTTTAAAAATAATATTCAAGATTTTTTTTTTGC